TCTCACTGTGTTCTCACGTGGTGGAAAAAGCTCTCTGGTGTCTCATAAGAACCCTAATCCTATTGTGTTAGGGTCACAACCTTATGACCTCATTTAACTTTAATCACTTCTGTAAAAGTCCTATCTTTAAATACAGTCACATTGGGAGTTAGGACTTCAACATATGAATTTGCGGGCACACTGTCCAGTGCGTAGCGTCTCCTACCTCACCAACCTTTCATGTTCCTGTCTGATCACAACTCTGCAGCTGTTCTGCCTGCGAGCCCTCGAACACACCAGCCTCGATCCCAACCACAGGCCTTTCTCACTCGCTGTTCCCTCCATCTAGGACTTTCTTCTTCAAAACTTGGCTGGTTGCTCTTCAATCTGGTCTTAACTGCAGTGTATCAGAGAGGCCTCACCTGACCATCCAACACTAAAATAAGGCCCCTCCCCCATTATATCTTATCACTTTGTTTATTTCCTTCACAGCCCTCACCACTACTTGAAATGATCTTGCTTATTATCTGTTAACTTGTTTATTTTCTGTTTCAACATATAAGCTACAAGCGAACATGTTCAGGGCCTGGCACATCGTATGTGCTCAATAAATGTTTATTGAAGAAATAAGTGAACAATAAGGCATGAATAAATCTATTTTGTTGCAAGATGAAGGTTATTTAAGTATTAGAAAAAAATTAATTCTGGGGGTTTATAAAATTGGTTTCAGAGTTGTTTTTTTTTTTAAGTCCATGTAGTTTTATTTTGATGTCGAGATAAGTGTAGATGGACCTCTCAAGACAAAAACCAGGACCAGTCTTTTCTTCAGAATGAACTATTCGAAAGTGCACTGAGCTGGGAAGAGGAAGGAAGAGGAAGAAAATGAAAGATTCAATTGGTCCGTTCATTTTCCCAAGGGCTGTGGAATGAGAAGAGGACCAAGGGAAGAGTGGAGAAAGGAAACAGATCCTCTCTGAGCCCCTGTGCTGACCTTTCCATGCATGAGTCCATCCAACACTCAGGGTCCATCTAATCAAAAATCCTCCGGGGCATATGTTATATCCATTTTTACAAATGGGTAAAACTAGGCTCTGGGGAGTTAAACAAGTTGCCCAGGACACACAGCTGCTAACTAGCAGAGCCAGCATTTAATTCCAGGTTGACGAAGTTCAGCCTTCGCTGACTGTGTGCCTTCTGTGGAGGGAGCAGGCTGGCGGAGGGAGCAGGCTGGCGGAGGGTCTCTTTCAGGGAAAACTCCTCGAGCAAAGGAACCACCTAAGTGGATGATGGCAATACCTAGCAAAAGATTTTTGTTGTGGTGACCTCCTTTTTTACATGCACCTGGGCCAGGGGACCAGGCAGAGGTTCCCTGAGCAGAGTTCTCAGCATTGGACCTGAGACAAGCTGAGGGGCACTGTGTAAGGAAGGGGCTACCGAGAGGATTCATGTGGAAGGACCCGCAAAAGACCTAAGAGAAGCAGGAATACAGGTTACTGAACAAGAGTAGAATGAGGATTAAGAAGGAGAACCAGAAATAACTGCATTGAAATAGAATCAATTGTGCTTTGATTTATTTGGAAATGAGTTAGACTTGCAAATATGCTAAAGTTACCCCTCCTGGTAGCTGGTGGGCATCAAATGTGATCATTAAGTACAAAATACCATATATTTGTGATCCTTATGAATATAACTGATTATTAAGCTAAGAGAAGTTGAAAGATGATCTCATTGAGGCTGTGTGTTCCACAAGTCCGGTTTTTTGGCTTCAAAAAAGAAATGTTCAAATCCTCACCATTTCGTTATAGAGGGTATGCCAACCCATAGAATTGTGGACTCTCAAGTTGCAGGAGTCCTAAGGTTTATCTAGTACAACTCCCAAAAGAGCAGGAATTCTCTCCCCAGCAATGATGACTAAGAGGTAGCCAGCTCCCCGGCTTGGCTCTGTTTTTCTTGTTTTAAATGCATAGCCAGTTCATTTGTTGCCTTAGGCTCATTCAGTGGACTGCAAAGACCACATTTTAGAATGTGTACATGTGACACCAATTCTTCTCTTATTGGCTCAAAGATTCTTCCCTCATTCGTCCACCATAAATGTATTGAGTTCGTATTGTGCATCAGACACTGAGATAAATAAAACATGGATGGCTAGAGAAAACCTATAGATCAATTGACTTTGACCCTTTAATATCACCAAATCAATATGACTGGTTTGAATCACTCTTGGCTGGTGGTTGAGGGGACAGGCCAAAGTCCCAAGCTATTGTTTTTGGACTTATTCCCATGGTGGTGTGGCCAGTCAGAGCTAAGATGGGAACAAAAATTCTTAATACCTGATTTTCTACCCCCACCCCCAATTTTAATACCTATGACAATTAAAATTTACAGGTATTTATCATACACTATATTTGATTTTGCAAAGGACCAAATCCCATGTTTAGTTAGTATAGAATACTAATTAGAGAAAGATCATAGACTTTGGGATAAGTCAGGTGGTTCAAATTTCTAGCTAAGTGAGTGGAGCAAGTTACTCTTTGAGAATCAGTTTTATTCTCAAAATAATCTCTACTTTGTATGATTATTGTGAGGTTTAAATGAGATGACCTGGTCCATGGTAAGCACTTGGTGAATGGAGAGCTGGCAGTTGTCGCACCTTAATGATTTATAACAATTCCTTCCTCTTCACATTTGCCTCAAGGACCACACACAAAGATGTGTCAGCCACTCTTGGATTATCATGGGCAGGGATTTCTGCAAAGTGGGAATTCATTTCTCTTTGCCTGTTTCTGGTTGTATCTACAGCTATACCAGTAGTAAAAGCAGCAAGGTGCATTTTGGAAAGATGGTGAGCATGCCAGAGAGAAAGTGTTGGTGAAGGAAGTTATTAATTTCAGCAGGGAATGGAAGTACTATTGAGTTCTTAGTGATCCAACTGGTTTGAGTATGAAACTCAGAAAAATGATTATTTGCTTCAGTGGTCTGCCAGTTGATGTACAATCATCTGTTCCGTAACCAATTTGCATGTTTGACCTGAAAGTAAGATTGTCTTATACACTTAATTCGCTATTAGAGCTTAGATACCAAGGGAGAAGTGGTATTATGTTTATGAAGCGAAATAATAACTTAATAGAACAAAAGTATTGGAAATGACTGGAGAGCTCCTCCTATGTAATCCATATGTAACCATGCCGAGATTCAGATTGGCTAGAGGACATAGCATAGTTTTGTATCTGCATTGTCTATATACAACTATATCAACCTTCCATTTTACTTTGACTGTATACACCTAGGCCTTGGCTACATATATACATACATGTAAAACACAGTAGATGTTCCAGGAAAATTGGGTGGGTGATGTACACTGATCCAGTCTGTTTTCCTTTACTATGCAGCTCCAGCCAGAACAAAATATAGTGTGTTAATAATCATCAAGCAAATCAACTCTGATACATCAAATCTAAAATCCTGGGCTTGCTGTAAGGGGTCTGAACTGTTTGGATGGCTGTCTAGACCTGACTAGGGACATGTCTGGCCACACAGCCATATTTGCATGTATGTTTAGGCCGTATAGATGGTTCAAATAATTCCAAGTTCAATTATTTCTTTGTTTACTAATATCCACCCTTAAATTCTTAGAATACTTGACTCTTCTTTACTTTTCTAGGGTCAGTGAGAGTGTCTGTGAGCAAGAGTGTAGGATGTGTCACAAAAGAAAGAAAGGAGCTCCTGCTCTCAAGGAGTTTACGCTCTTATTTTATACTCAGCTGTCACCCTATGGCCAAACAATAGGATGAAAAGAATATTCAAATGTTGAGGTGGCGGTTGACTCAATGGCAAACATTTAAATCTTTGTATATGAGTTTAATATTCCATTTTTTAAATGGCATTCAGTGGATACAATCATACTGGCTATAACACAAGTGGTATTTAAAAAATTAACTTATCTATTTGATTCCCTCTACTGAGCTAATTCCAAGGTGTACATTTTATCCATGGCTACATATAATGATTCAATAAACTAGACAAATGTTAAATCTCTATGGTAACTGTTAAATCTGAGGTAGGATAATAAATGATTGCAGAGGTTCTACACTGATTATGTTCCTTACTAATCTGTTGCTCTTGGCTTTGGGGACATAGAAAGAGGGGGTGGGAAATGTCAAGGGAGAAGGATGATGGAATGGGAGGAGCACTCCTTAGAAGTTTGAACTCACTGGGTTGTAGAATTAGATATAGATTTAGAGGCCTTCTCTTCCAAACCATTGGTGCTGCTGTAAGAGTTAATCGATGTCATTATTTAAAGTTATCTCTTGGTTAGCCACTAATAAAGCTAAGCAACAATGCAAACACAAAAAAAAACATTTGAATTTGAAATGCATTGTGTGGATTTCTTTTCCTACAGCAGATATATGATCCTTAGTATAGTTTACTAGAGTTATTACTAAGATACCTTGTATTACCTGAATCTGCGGCTAATGTAGCAGAGTTAAATGGCTGTGGCATGAATTGAGAGACTGAAAAAGGATAGTTTCTGTTTTAACTTTTACCACAAAGTCACGTGTAGATAAACAAGAGTTAATTGAATATAATTCATAGGAAAAATCAAATGCTGAAAACCACTAAAAACCAAATCAAACATCTTCATTCATACTAGCAGGTGCATTTGGCAGTAGGCACCCAGTCATCAGCTTGGCCTTTTTAATAGACTTGAGTACTTCTGCCCCAGACATTAAACTGCTTTTGGGGCAGGACAGTGGAGATCTTGTGGGAAGCCGGAAATAAGTTTTGTTGGTGGCCTTTTTCAACATGTTTTGTGGAATTAGGCCTTTAGGGCTGCAATTTCTTCACTGACCATTATCACTGAAAACTCTTGGTCTCTCTATTTTCTTTTGGTTCTCTGGTTTGGATAAGATCAGATGATTAGTCTCCTGGTTTGTTGATGACACATAGAAGATATGTTTATAAAATGTCACCAAATATTCACTGTGAGGATGATGCTACCTGGCAAAGATGGATGGTTTCCTTGTGAACTACTGATGAGAAGTGCTCCAGAATAGGTACTGACCAATTTTCTTTAGCGTTCGAGGTACTCGTATGACTTTCTTGGGATAAAAATCATATTCAGGAAGTTGCTAGTCTCAGCTGGGTGCACGGACAAGTTATTTTTTTTCCGCATCTTATCAACACACATTCCTTTATCTTGCAATGTCTGCATATGGAATCGTCTCAGAAGTGTAACCAAGATGACTTTCATCATCACCATGGCGATGTACTTTCCTGCACAGCTACGGGGACCAAAACCAAATGGCTGAAAATACCTGTAAGGAACCTACAAAAACAATCAGATAATTAGCCAGAATATTAAAGGCTAAAATAATGCAGTCTCTCTTTAATTCACCCTGAAAACATTGCTCAGTCAGCACGCTCTGTGCAGGGATCTCAGTCATACTACTCCTTCACTGAGATGAATGACTCTACCTCAGATAAGCCCTTTTTCTCCACCCAGTTTGATTTACCCGCTGTGATACATACCCAAATTTGAACAATATCCAGTTTTGCTTTTCATGTAAAATGTGCTGGGATAAAGCAGTGCAGATCATTTTAGTACAGCCAGTGTTACTCAGCTAGTTCTCTGAGCTGGCCACCTGTTACTACTGTTCTGAAGTCACCAAGGCAAACTGTTTTTGTGCAGTGCCGTATAGCCTGATGACAGGGGACAAATTTAGGTAAATGTGTAGGTTCTTGAGCTGTTAGTGCCAAGCATCTAAATATTTTTAGTTATGCAAAAAGTTAATGGGACCACATCTGTTTGTCTTGTGCACCCCTGGACTTACATAGTACCTGTCACATAGTAGATTTTCAAAAAGTTTTGCTGACCAATTGTCAACATGATAAGGGTTGCTCATATAGAAATAGAATGAATTAGAGAACTGAATCAAGATTATTTTTCTCTAATATGTGCAAATGATAAAAAGAAGGCACTGAGGAGACTACCTAGATAATACAGATTAAAAAGCATCATTGCCTAAAATTTGACGTAATAGAAGCAGAATCTTGAATGATAAGAAAAGAAAAAGCTGAAATTCTTCTAAGTACTGAGTCCTATTTAGAATGGGAATTAGTGCTTGGGGGGCCATTTGGTCAACCAAAAGCAGACTGCGAAAACCAAATCTTTTGGTCTCATTTGATTTTCCTCTGAAGCAGAATTGGACTTTCCTTTGCTTAGATAGTGTTACAGCTGAATCTACCTGATGACAAAGCAATAAATTTAGATGGAAAATTAGGTTGGTTGGGTTAAACAAAATTTGCTTCATTTTAGTCATAGTAAGGCCTTGGCTTTTTACATTTTGACCTATTATGTGGCCACCATGTAGATACTTCCTAGAGCTGGAGACCCAGCATCCTTGGCTTGAGGACAAATATGGCAGCCATATTCTAAGCTAGGGGAAATGCATGTTTCAAGTAAGTAGAATGAAATGTACATAACATAAACACAGAACCAGAGAAGACTTAACCGCTAACATTTTCAAGAGTGGCACATTTGGTTTTAAGGAAGGGCTCTTACATTCTTTGCAAAATTTTCAAGATTAAATTCATTGGGCTTAGGGAAAAATTCAAGTTTATGTATTCTTCCAATGTACAGGATAATGTTAGTCCCCTTTTTCACTCGGTGGCCATCAATGACATCATCCTGTAAGGCTTTGCGCATGATCATGTCCACAACAGGCTGGTACCGCATGCTCTCATAAATAAAGTTTTCCATCACTTTTAATTTTTGAATATCACCAATCCTTACGTCTCTTTCACCTGTAGAAGCAGATAAAAAGGACAAGGAGGTAATAATGTTAGTTTCACCATGTGATAGGCATAAAAACTCCGATAATTTCCATACAGTAATTTGCTCTTTGTTGGAAAAGGTTTTATATCCGTAATTCTAACGCAAACCAGAAACCCGGGCCAAATATGTTATGTCTGGCCCACAGAGTATTTTATAAAATTTCAGATTTGAAGCAATTACCTTAAAAGTTAGGAGATTTCATAGAAAAGCCGGGATTTTTCAGAAAAATCAGAAAACCTGGTAATGCTGGACTCATACGCCTACATCACAAACATGAGCTAAAGTTGATTGGCCAATGAACCCTTTAGAGGGGCATTCCATTTGCAGTCACATGTTAAGACTGCTTTAAACATTTATCTGTCTGGCCTCTGAGGTCTTTGAGTTTTCTCCCATACTCTAAATTCTAGGGGATATTCACTCCTTTTCTACTCAAAGTGAGACACTGAATTTAGTCAGTTTCAATAACATTTTCTCCTCTGGTTAACTGTGCAGTCATCTGCCTAGGACTGGTCAACTGATGTCCTCTCCTCCCCATCTCATCAAGAACAACCTGTTACAGTTGAGTGGCAAGAACCTCTTACCACAGAAAAATGGGTGCCTTAGATTAGCACTGGGTTTGCTGGGGATTAAGGGACACTCCCCACTGTCTCAGATTGGTCAGAGAAGCTCAGATTATTCCCAGAATTGGCAAAGCTTCAGAGCACCCTCAAATGGGCTACCGCTTTTGCAGAATCAAAACAGGTCAGAATCCTGAAGCAGCTCTGTCCCCTCTACAACTATGGCATTCAAGAAAGGTCTCATTTGGTCAGAAAACTCTAACAGCCTTGTCCCTCACATACCGCTCTTTGTACATTCAAGGGTCTAATGCGGTATGTTTATTTGGGGTGGGGAGGTAGAAGGGAAGAAGATAGAGAAGGTAACCAAAACTTCCCTAGTAAGTAATTACATGAGTATGTATCTAGAGGGAGCATATGGTTCTGCTTCTCTTCCATCTTTGCAGAGGTCTGTTGAAGTGTCAGGAGGACATCATGGGGCATAAACACTTTCACCTCTCAAAAAGTTGTAGTCAAGAATTATGGTCTCAAGAGTAATTTCCGCCTTTGTTCCTTGAACTCCATCATTCTAATGGCCCTCTGTCTTCACTCCACTGAGCTTGCTTGTTGGGTTCTTTTTCTCCCACCAGCGCATGAGCCCCATGAGTGATAGTACTGACTTGTTCACCACTGTGTCCCTACAGCTGGCACAGTACCCATAAGTTGACATGGGCACATGAGGGAACATTCTGAAATTTGGAGTCCATATGTTATTCCAGCTCCTTGCTATCTACCTTGCCAGGCAATTTTCCATCCACAGTGACACATCTGTTGATCCCTTCACATATTTAATCCTTCTATGAAATTCCCCTTTCTGTCACCTATTTTAAGCAGCATGCAAACGATTTTGAAAGAATGGTGTTTTCTACAACCAAATAACTAGTTTCACAATTGTGTGAAATCAAGAGAAAAATCTACATCATTACTGATAGCTTGTCACATGTGTCAGAAGCGTGTTCCTAAAAAGGTTACCTATGTGAAGGACATCCCAAATAAGGAATGCTGTTTTCTCTCAGAAAGCAATTCTGACTTCTGAATATGGCAGCATGTCTATGGAAGGGTGGTGATGTCAGGAGCACTGAGCAGAATGATGCTGAGGCAGAGGCAGAGAAGGGAAGAGGTGTGTTGAGAATTGCTGACTGGGGACCTGGCTGCTCCTCTACAGAGGAAGAGGAGAGGACTAGGGGGGAGGAGAGGCCAGAATCTCTGGATTGCAGGGAGAGAGAAGCTGATCATTCTCCTGTCTTCGCCATCACCTTCCCCTCCTCCATCTGCTACCAACTGGAATTCATTTGTGAATAGACTGCTTTAAACCCAGAAACACTGCTATAAATGATAGCCGTTCCCTGGGTGAACCCACCAAAGCCTTTTGTCATTGGTAAGATAGGCAAAACGTTATGCAAAATCCCACGTTTTCTTCTTTTTTAACGCAGACAAGTATGACTACATATATGTGTTTATGTGCACATAAAAAAATACCTTGAAGAACACACAGCAAATCACTAACAGTGGTTTCCCCTAGGGAATGGGAACAAGCTTGGGAGGAGCCTGGGAGTAATCGAGGAGTGTGACTTTCTACTTTACATATCTCTCTATTTGAATTTTTTTCAATGAGCATGTATTATTTTTATAATTAAATAAAACACAGAAAGAAGTATACTTTTAACCTATCTGGCATAATGAAAGTTTGACAAAATGACTTGCTTTATCATTCTCTGGGTGGATTATAGTGTTTTGTTTGACATCAGATTCTTAGGACATCATAAGACGCTGATACTAGAAGGAATTGTTTTCTAAGCTCTATTATTTATTTGATAAATTCTTACCAACAACAGTCTGAATTTCCTTCATTATTGCCTCTTCAACCTGAGGATGCTTTGCAATGAGAAATAACATGAAGAACACAGTGACAGACAGAGTGTCTGGTGCCGCGATCAGCATTTCCAATATGCACTGGTTCACATTCTCTTTTGTCAGGTCGCCACGTCTCTGAATAATAGAAAGAGGGGAGAAAAATTGGAAAAGTGAATCAAAATTTCACAAAAAGAGAGGAGGAGACCTTCAAGGATCTACAACTTCACCAAAATGAAATCATAGAAATTACATGTCTCTGTAATGGACTATAAACATTTTTCATAATCTTCATTTGAAAGCTGAACAATAACCAATTATTGATGTCTTTGGATTCTCCCATTTTCGTATTTTGTATTGTGAAGACACAGAGTAGCTTTAATCTTAAAAGTCAGTCTTACCAGAATGCCTAATGTGTGGGCTATTTGGGTTGGGCTTTATAGAAGTACTGGAGCAAATAATTAAAAGCAAAGATATGTAACAATTACAAAAGGAAATCTTTACACACCTATCCCCAAACAATCATAAACATATGTTGTGTGAGAATTATGGTTAGTCCAGGTCAGTACCTCAGCAAAAATCAACTCAGTGGCAAAATCTATACAGTCTTCCAGTTTATCTGCTGTGGAAATCCTCTGTCTTTTTTCTTCTACCAGAATTTCCATGGCATCTTTCATATCCTTGCTGGAAAAAAAAAAAAAGTGAAAATATACTCTGTCTGTATTCAGTTAAGACATCTAGAAAAATGGATTCATTGGCTAGTTGTTTAAATAAAACAATCTGCTTTAATCGAAGCCGTTAGTACTCATGAATTACTGAATTTATACTTGATTCTTCAATAAGATCCTTAAATTACATATACATTATACTTCATGTTAGGAACCAGAGTAAACTAAGATTTCTGGGTACTGATAGCAAAATCAAGGCTGAAACCTCTAGTTAAGGGTTAAAAACTGGTAGCTAAATCCAATCATGTTTTCTGATTTTTCAATTTGGCCAGCACAGCGTTTAAATTAAATGGCCAAAACCAAAACCAGTGAATGTCTTTAGAAGGGGCACACACTTTCCAGTTTGCCATGGGTACTTCTATTTCCTGTTATCTTATAACCAGCCAGTCCACTTTCATATGGCTGGCTCTAAAGACTATTGAGTTTGAGATTTCTGTTCTATTCAGTAAACTCGAGTGACTGAGTATTATTCTTGATATTTATTCACATACCTTGCAGTTTCTGTCACATAGTAAACACTAAGTAAATATTGGTTGAACGAATGAATGGCTACATAAATACGTATATGCACTTTAACAGTGTGGTTGAGGGAAGAGCACCTTGCACAGAGGGTCAGGTCCTAGTCCAGGTTGTTTTCTTTCTATATAACCTACTTTATATCTCTGGACCTTATGTCTACTTTAAAGTGAAGGGTTCAGACTAGAACAGTAAGGCCACCTTGAGATAGAAAGAAAGAGACAGAGACAGAGAGACAGAGAGAGGAAGGAAGGAAGGAAAGAAGGAAGGAAGGAAGGAAAGAAGGGAGGGGGAGAGAGACACGTAATTCATTAAGATGTAGCTCTCATGTTAAATGTTCTGAGAGAGAGAGGGAGAGAGAGAGAGAGAGAGAGAGAGAAAGGAAGAAGGAAAGAAAGAAGGAGGAAGGGAGGGAGGGAGGAAAGAAAGAAAACCTGTACTTGTAGTCACAGAGAAGAGATAGGTGGAGGTGGTTACCAGATGCAGGGGTTGAGGGTCAGGGTGGGCCAAGAGGGTGAAGGGGGTTAAAAGGTACAAACTTCCAATTATAAAATAAATAAGGTATAGGAATGTAATACAGCATGGTGACTATAAATAATACTGTATTGCATATTTGAAAGTTGCCAAGAGAGTAGATCCTAAAAATTCTCATCACAAAAAAAATTTTTATAGCTATGTGTGGTGACAGATGTTAACTAGACTTATTGTCATGATCATTTTGCAATATATGCAAATATTAAATCACTATGTTGTACACCTGAAACTAATATAATGTTATATGTCAATGATACCTCAATAAAAAATACTGACATTATTGCAAGGGCATAAAAGAGAGGAAATTAAAAGATTTTTCTAGTGGGAATGTTGCTGAGCCATTTCTACAGAAACCTAAGAGAAACTGTTAGACAATCTCATCCAATAAGTATATTCTGTGGGACTGCTGGCCAAGATCAAGGCTAAACTAATGACCAAGAACCACCACCAAATCTGACCTCAGTGAAGTCACGAATTCTTATCTCATTGATTCTAGTCACAATAAGCTCTGGAAACTAGATGAAAATGTATAAAGAACCAAGGGTCAAAATCATCTACCCAGTACTCATCAACCATGTAAGAATATATAAAGCAACATCAGGTTAGTTTCCTCTCTGGAGACTAATATTATTGAATTTAAAAACACACAAACAGGATAAAATTGGGCCTTCAAACAAGTTTGGGAACTTTTAGAGATGAGGAATTTAAGATGGTCAGGGACATCTGGGAACAATGTGAACAGAGAGAAGGAGAAAACGAACATATTTAATGCCTGCTATGGGCCACACTCAGTGTTTCATCAGCAATAGGATCGCATTAACCTATATTCCCACTCTGGAAGGCACGTTCTATTTTACTTTAAATAACTTCCCAAGGCCATTTAGTTACTAAATGGTAGAGACAGGATACAAACCACATCTATCTGCTTCTAATTTCCACGAGCTTTCCACTGGTGGTTAGAGGTGGCAGTATTTAGTGGCTGGCAGCTTACACTCAAAAAACTCATTAATTAACTAAGGCCTTTGGGCATTTGTCCAGTTTTCTGCTAGACTAGTCTAACACCAATGGCATTTAATGACAGTTTCAGAATCCCCCAAAGACACAGCTATATAACTAAAAAAATAATTTACATTTTATTGACGTTTATTATGTTTATAATGAAAAAATTCATTTGTGACGATTGTTAATTCCTAATTCCTACAAGTTGAATTAAGTCAAATTCATTCAGAAGCAACATAACTATAAAATAACTCCATGTTTCTATTTTCTAGACATACAGAGAGAATTTTGACAGATAATGATAGGTTCAGCCAGCCATTCTATTCGACTCAAAATACACTGTAATGTTTTAGTTTGGGATTTGGTGCTTTCAGAAAACCCACTTGGCCCCCTTGCTGAGAAGCTATCCTGGCCAAGGCTTCGTTTACTTTTCAGTCCAGCTACATTCAGTCAAATTGACGTAGAAAGTGTTTCATCAGCAATTTAATCAACATCTCCCTTGTGGGCTCTGGAGAGCAAAAGACTTGTCAAAGAGGCCAAACAGTAGCAAAGACACAATGAAAACCACAATCTATTCTCATGGATAAATTTTCCAAACTTGTGTTACTTACACAGACTTTTCATGCTTTTTGTATAGCCAAGAAATCTTAAAGAAGATGTCTGGTTTGATAAGGAGAGCTTGCCATGCTTCAAAATAACCATTGATTTTATCTACAATGGCATTTTCTGGAAGAAAAAAAAACAAACAGGCAGAGCAATTGAGCAAAAACATGAGCCCAAGAAGAGTACACCTAGCAGAAAAGATTCCTTGTAAATTCTCCTACCTGTCTGGGGTTCTAAGCTAGGTAAGTTTCCACCTTCGGTGGGCATTTTAGCCATGTTAATGCCACTAGACAAATCAACACTAATTTATTCTGCTTGGCATCTAAATCAGCCAAGTTGACCAAAGATTTGCCAGTTTTCAAGTTTATGTTAGAGACACAGCCTAGAATCTCACATGCCCCTCTTTGTCTGAGCCTCTATCTCTCTCCTGTTTTCCTGGACAGTGGGGAACAAGAGGGGCACTAATAATTATAGCTGTCATGGCCTCAATTCTGGCATCTGGGAGGATAAAAAGCCATACCATTCTCTTGTTAGGCAGCCAATAGCTGCATATTAACATTTAGTGTTGGATAAGCAAAGCCATTAAGTCGATAATCTACTTGGATTATGTACCTAACTAATAGCTTGTAATTATATTCTCACTTCATAGTGCTTTATTCATATTTTTTGTAGCACTCGTCACATAGTTTTCATGCTTATTTGGTCTAGAATGTAGATTTATCTTAGTATCGTCAATACCTTGTCTTGAGCCTCATGCATAGTCAGCTCTTAATAAGTGTTCTTTAATTAAATTGAATATTACAGAAAAGAAAACCCTTGCTTTTTCCAAATTATACAAAAAGGAAGAGAATAGACATTTATTTTTAACTGCTAAATACTAGCCACTGTGCAAGATGCTCTACAAAAGAGACCGCTTAATCCTTACAATCTTTCTAGGAGAGTGATACTATCATTATATGGCAGATGAAGAAACTGCAGTTCATAGAAATTGAGAAGCTTGCCCAACACCATACAGCCAATGTGATAGGCAGGCCCTTGGGCTGGAACTCAGTTTTATCTGACCTCGGGGGGATGTCCTGTCCCCTTTGTTGCACTGGGTCTCTTAGGGAAACAGAGGTTAGCAAGAACCGAGTGAAGAGAAGGGAAATAAAATAACTATGCATGGGTTATGTACATTCTTAGTATCATGGTCTGTATCCACACATTAACAGAGACATTTGCAGTTTCCTTTACCTGATCCTTCCTAAGAATTAAGGCTAACAGGGAACCAAGGAGCAGGAACTAATGAAATATGTACCTCTCTAACCTGAGGAAAGACGTGTATAGAACAGGCAAACTGGGATTGGAGTCCTTTTCTGAAAGGGGATCAGGCAAGAGGGTATGACTAAAAAATCCTCAGAGTGAATAGGGGCTCCCATCTAAATGGCAATCAGATGAGGTTTCTATGGCTCTTGTGAGGAGTAATTAAAGAGCAAGGGAGATGAGGCAAGAAGAGCTGGAGAACAGAAAGGGAAGGCTTAGAGCTTGTTTATTTGCCCAAATGTAGTAAATCAGGCAGCAGGTGTTAGAGCTTAGCTGGTTTGGGCAAGTGTTAAAATTATGCCTCGTTCTTATGCCTGTAATATTCTTCCCTCAGATCGCATGTGGCTTGTGGTCCTACCTAATTTAGGCTCATGTTTAGCTGTCTTCTCTGCAGAAGCCTTTCTTGGCTAGTCTCTCTATGATAGCCACATCCCCTCCCACTGACTTCCCCCTTCACTTACTATCCCCTTGTCCCGCTTTGTTTTTTACTCACGGTACTTATTGTTGTGTAATATATTACTAGATATTTACTTTACTGTCCATATATCCACATTTAAATATAAACTCCTTGAAGGCAAGGACTTTTGTCTTGTTCACTGCTCTATCCCCAGAACCTAGAACAGTGCCTGGCATAAAATAGACGATCAATAAATACTGATTATATAAATGGATGAATCAATGAACGCTGCTAGAAATTACTTCAAGAAAATTACATTAAGCTGAACAACAGCAGAATGAAATTAATCTTAATGATTAATGTTTGTTTTTTGGTGGTGGTAAAGTTGTACGTATGTGTTTTAATATTTGTTTCTGTAGTGTAGTGAAGAAAGTAGCTTTTTGAGTGAGACATCGTGCCATTGTTAAAAATGCTAAAAGACAAACTATATGTAAAGCAACTTTTTATACTGCTTGGTATATGGTAGATACTAAATTAATTGTAGCTACTATCATTGTTGTTTGCAGCAGCAGCAAGCAGTGCCATTATCATCGTATAGAGTCAAAGTTTTCATACCAAGTAGCTTTGAGAAAGGGGTGTGTATGTATGTATGTATGTATATACTTATATGTATACATATATGTGTGTATATAGGTACATATATGCATATATATGTATGTATATATCATGCCCAAATGAATGGTTGGAAATGGTTAAATATACCAGTGTGTTTGGTGGCAGGATATATTAATGACCAAATGAACTGACCACATTTGTTAAGTTTTGACTATGGGTAGAATCCCATTTCGTAGAGCAATGAGGAGAGATACAAAAGAAATAGAAGATGGCCCCTACTTTACAGAAATGTATATCTTATAAGTGAATGAGGCAGACATACTTGGAAAAAAAATTCTAAGGAAATCTTAGAGATGTTTAAACAAGAACAATGTACAAGATTTGAGTCAGCTGTCTCTTTCATCCCTGTGTTCAATAAAGGGCAGGATATCAAGTTGTGAGAATGAACATTTCAGTACCGTCCAAGGGGATCCCCAGGAAGAGCATGTTAGAGGTGTCCAGAATGATGCGCCGCAGGAGGGTCAACACGTCAATGTAGCCCAAGTCATTTCTGACCTCCTCCAACCTGTCCAGATGCTTTATGATGGATTCGGCACAAATTGTCACCATGCGCACGAGACCACGGCCGGACAGAGCTGAATGGAACAAACACATCAGAGAGTGAGCCACCACACACTCTAGGACACACACAAACCATCAGGCCATTTTGGCTTCTTTTGTTTGGACCTTAATTGTCCACGGTTTTCATTCAGTGACTACAGGCGGGATTTTGATATTCTTCTTACACTCATCTGTATTCTCCTAATTTTCTACAAGAATGTATCGTCTTTATTGTTTAAAATGAATGAATGAATGAATGAATGAGTGAGTGAGTGAGTGAATTAGATCAAGTAGAATGACCTGGCTCTGATCTCACCCTTTGCTCTGCTCCTGACCCTCTGAGCAGCTACTGGGACCTGATGAGAAGTGATCTATCTTGAGTTTAACTTGTAAAATCTCACTTTCTTTCTATGTTCTTTAAGCTTTCTTTAAGAAGAATCTCTTTTATGTCTTTTATTACTCAGACTTACTTAGTCAGAGTCCTTGAAATGCAATGAAAAATTGTGGGGAATTTTGTAGGTGTAATTCTCTCTTTAAAAAAAAAAAAAAATCGGCTACAGAATCCCCTGAAGGTAGACTTTGCAAATCAAGAAAGAAGGCATGGTAAGTTTGTCCTAGACTCTTAAGATTTCTTCTTATACATAGAAAGAAAGGTTCTGACTGTAGGAAGTACTTGGCAGATATGAAAGGCCAGGTATGTCATTCCTTGGGTGACTGTCACATCCACAAGTGAGACAAATGATTCCTTAATGACCCAACCTTTTGTGTGGAAGGGTTGGCTTTGAATATCACTGGTGGTTTTCTCCCAAGCTGATGTATGATTTGCCTCTACATCCACAAGCTTGAAGCCACATTTCAAATATAAACAATATATAATATTGTTGCTTATAGGTAGTGGTATGATGTAGATATGATTTTAATTTTTACAATGTGCTTAAAAGTTTTGGATCTTATCAAGTTTTTTAAAAAATTAAGCAGTATCCATCAATATAGACAACTCTCTTGGCAGTTTCAGAAAACAGGCTATTTTTTGCTCCTCTCACTTCATCCCTCCAGGATGGGCCATTGCCTAAGCTGAACATAACCATTTCTCCATGGCATACCCAATAAGTCCATACCTTCATTAATGTTACTACTTTAGATGCCAAAACTATCCCAAACTTTCTACAATATTAGGAAAACCAATAAAAAAGCTAACTCTAAAAGGAGGTTCATCAAGAAATGCTTGGGGTTCTCAATGATTATTAAAAATGTCAAACATAACAGTGAATTTTCAATAACAATTAGCCCTCTACTTTTGGCATTTGATTTGGATCCAGTTTTTAATGTTTTCATTAGAAAATCTGATCTTTCATATATAAGGCTAATCTAAAAAAAAAGTCACAAAGATCTTTTGATTAATTTCCAAGTACCACAGATTCTACTCTTAACATCTCTTATATTGGTGCCCTGCCCTTCATCTACCTTGTGTCATGCAGTAGCTCTTAACTGTTCTCATTGCTCACAGTTATGCTTCCTACCAATTAATTCTTTACTATGCTATCAGAAGAGTTTCTTCTAAAACAAATATGTTCTTGTCATTCTGGTTAAAATCTTTTTATTATTATTAGTTATTACCATTTATGTCTACAGCACCTGGTCTTCCTAGGTGGTCTCCCATTCCAGTGCTAACCAGGCCCAACCCTGCTTAGCTTCCGAGATCAGACATCAGGCTTGTTCAGGGTGGCATGGCCATAGATCATGGACCGTGGCTCTACTGAGGTGTAAACCCAGGACCTTCTGCCTGTAAAGCAGACATGCTAACTGCTACACTATGGAACTATGTCCCATTCTGCTTAAAATCTTGAATGACTTCCTATAGCTTCTAAAATAAGCTTGGCTCCTTACCTTAGCACAGGAATCTTCGGTGGCTGGCCCTGCCTTCCCCTTGGCCTCATGCCTGCATGTATCCATACAAAGCACAAGGATGTGTCTTGCTGATCTGTCCTTTTGGCCTCAGAGTATCCTGTTTGTTCCTACTGTGAGACGTGTCCTTGTCACACTTAATTTAGGTAGCTTTTACCTTCTTTCGAAATTCATCGTAAGTGTACACTCCTCTGAAAAGCTTCCCCTTACTGTTCAGTGTGCTTTAGGTGGTCCATTTGTCTAGGCTCTGTAGCACTACACACTCACCTCTACCATAACACATCACCTAGGATGGTATTTGGTGAGGTATTGATCTGCCACTCTGCCCCCTCTCCCGTTATAGATTTCTCAAGGGTAGGGACTATACCTTGTTTCTCATTGTATTCCGGGCACCTAGTTCGATGATGAGAAGACAGTAGTTTGTTAAACAAATGATGAACTCAAGAGAATCTATTAATTCTTGCATGTCCAAATAGAGGATATTGGTATGTGAAAGTTAATTGCTCTTAAATACTGGTTCACGTATTCCTAACAGACCTGGGCTAAATGACAAAGTAAAATAAAGCTTACATTTCTATAGGATCTTACAGCACTATTTTATTATTTCATTCACAGCAGCTCTAGAATTCAAGTTCTATAGTGTTTATTACCTTTTATGGATAAGGAAACTGTAGCTCAGAGAGGCTGAGTGACTTGTAAAGTGGCTCAGACCCACAACCTATAATATTTCCATTAATCCATTCTACAGTTTGTTACACATAAGATGATTTATCTGCCCCAACATGAGTAGTAACAGAATGATAACCTTTAAAGTTGTCCAAGCCCTAATCTTTGAAATCTATTAATATATAACCTTATATGGAAAAAAGGGACTTGGCACATATGATTAAAATTAAGAACCTTGAGATGGGGAGAATATTATAGATTATCTGGGTGGGCCCAACCTAATCACGTAAGTCTTTAAAAAGCAAAGAACCTTTCCTGGGTGAGGTCAGAGTCAGAGATGTGATGACAGAAGGATGCTCGGAGAGATGTGATGTAAATAGGACTCAAGCCACTGTTGCTGGCTTTGAAGACAGAGGAAAGGGCCACAGGCCAAAGGATGTGGGTGGCCTCTGAGGATGAAAAAGGTAACATCTTGGTTTTAGCCTCGTGAGACCCATGTCAGACTTGATGTACAGAGCTGTAAGATAATCATTGTATTGTGTTAAGCCACTAAGTTCATGGCAATCAATTACAGCAGAAGTAAGAAACTAATACAACAGAGTCTACAATAGAGTTATGCTGAGTCTTGGTGATAGGCAACTCTACAGAGGGGTATCAACACCTAGTGGGGACAGGCATAGCTCTTCCCTGTCTCAGCAGCCACACAGGAGGCGCCTACGTTCACTACAGAGGCAGGCTGGAAGGAAGAATATTGATGGTACGTGATCAGACCTAAAATCTATCTAGCCCCATACTCCACCACTGACATTTCCAAGGCATGATTATGTTCCCTGATGTCGATATCAAAGACTGGTCATCAGTATCCCCCAACAGCTTCATTTCCAGCAGGATATAATAAAGGAGAAAATTAGTAGATAAGGAGGCTTGGGATCTGGTCTCTGTTCATCCATTACACGCTGTGTGGCCTGGGCAAAAATTACCACCTCTCTAGGACTGTATTTCCTCAACTATAAAACTTAAGAGGCTCTGTGAGATGACGTATGCAGCCCTTCCCAGTTCTAAAACTCTCTCATTTTATTCACAAATTGCTCTCTGTTAAAATATCTGGGATGTCGGTCAATGATTCAACAAACATATTATTTGGTTATGCTTAAATCAAACATATGGCTGTCACTCGATTTTTAATTGAAATTATCCTAAGTATACAGGTCCAGCTCTTCTTCACATCCATGAAACTGCTTTGTGTATTAACAGGAGGAACAGAATTTGTGGTGATTCAAAATATGGGCTCTGGGGCTGTCTCTCTGGCCACCATTTACTAATGTTGAAACCTTGGGCAAGTTACTTAACCTCTTATGCTTCAGTTTTCTCATTTGTAATATGTAGATTATTAGAGTATTTACCACTTGGGGTTGCTGTGAGATTAAAATATCAAGTGTTTAGAACAGTGCCTATCATATAGTAAACACATAATGAATGTTAGCTCATACCCTCATTATTTCAAAACTTAGCAGAATTTAAGAATGATTTAAAAAAAAAAAAGGCACATTCATAGTCAAGAGCAGAATGTAGCCAGGCACTTGATTACCTTTTACAAAGAAAGGTCGGATAACTTTCCAGAGGGCTGGATTATTGTTAAATATGATGCCATTCTCATGCATGCCAATAAACTGCAATCCAAGTTTGCTGCCAAATCGGGAGATGTAGTGATCATGCTTCATTACGTGGAACATACTTGAGGACCTGCAGAGAAAGCAAACTTTGGTGTTAATTTTTAAGTGTCAGGAGAATTCATAGTGATGATTTTGACTACCAGATGGCTGTCTTAGCAAATGCATGTTGATCTAACTGCCATGTATGATTTCTAGTATTCATAATAAATAAGCACTTCTGTTCCCATAAAACATCCCTCTCTAGCTGAAACATTTACCGACACTCTGTTTGAGCATTATGAAAGATAGAATATACCACACACACACACACACACACACACACCATTTCTTATTTCCTTTTCTTCTCTAACTCCAAGTCACCAAAATACTGGGATGAGAGCTGCAAAGCTGTTAAGAAGCTGAACCTTGCACACCACCAGAGTCTTGAGAGCCTCCAGCTCCCTCTAGGTATCGTGCTGTCCCCCGCAGGAGTGAGCTTCAGAATCTGGAGTTGCCAGAATTGCTGAAGTCTTTCTTCTTTAGTTTGGAACAAGCAATCTGTCTAGAGTCTCTAATCAGGCTTCCAGTGGGGTATAATTCTGGGCTTGAAGGACATCTCCTGGGCACTCTTGGCGCTGAGCTTGGCTGGCTGGGCTGGTCCCGGAAGGTTCTCTGTAGTGGTGACAGCAGCTCTTGGGGCTCTGCATTCATCATGACTCATCAAGTTCTCCAGGGTCACACAGTTCTCCCAGGATATAAGACATGGGGAGCCATTAGATAGCCTTTTATGTAGCAACACTAGGACCTTGTCAATAACCCAAGCTTCCTTGAACTTCCCGGCTTCTCCTCCACTTTTCCACCTCCATCCCCACCACCATGCCCAGCTTTTGAGGCCTAGGAAGAGCCTTCAGGAGAACTAGGAAGGAGAGGCAGCTTCTTCTGTCTCTCCCCTCCCCACACATTTCTTCCTTTAGGAGTTGCTAGTCTAATTTGGGCAGGATGAGGCACTGAGAGTTTTAAAATGTTATAAAATTCTAGCTGAAGAAGTCATAGGGGCCTGCTCATATGAGGAGAATAGCAGTCTCTACAGAAGAATTCTGTAGAAAAGATGTTTTATTAAGATTGTTTATATGTTAACTTATGACACTGGAAAGATAAATAATTTAAGTAATTCAATAGTCAAATGGATAAAGGATAAAAAGTCAATTATTCTCTTTAGGATAAATGGTAGGGTGAGTTTATTAGCTGGTGGGTGCAAGCAGCACAGGGGGAAAAGGAGGAGGAAGAGCTGGGATGAATTGTATGTGTGTGAGGATTCGGGGAGGCGCGGACTCCTGGTTCATTGCTCAGCAAAAGAGGTTGAAGTTGAGAATTGAGTGGTAGATGAAATAAGTTCCTTTTTCATCTATCAAGAGAAAAATTAAGAAATGCTGTGACCAGATTTCCTTTGGAAAATGGCTGAGGTTGGAAAATAGGTTAATGCAGGGCCCAGAGGGAAGCAAGCTACCTGGACAAGGGCTAAGTGATGGCAGTGGCCATGGACAGCGTGGGTCAGGAAACCAGAAGGAAGCCTGGTTAGAAGCCTGAATTAATAAGCTATGTGGCTAACCCTCTGTCTGGTGAGATGGAAGGTGTACAAAGATGGATGGGATGATATTATCAGAGGATAGAGAGGCCATAAGCAGGACATGTGGTGTTCGTATGTCCCTTGTTTTCATAAATGCCAATATTGTAATGTAGGCATAGACCAGACACAAACATCACTTGGAGAAATCAAATGAGATTGTTTAAAGAATCTGGAAAAAAGTCAGTGTAGTGAGGATCCAAGGCATAAAAAAGAGGGCAGAAAGAGGTGTAGGTAGCCAGACCCCCAAATCCTCACTCACAGGGGTGCATGGCTATGGTTGAGTAAGTGAGGAAAGAGAGGTCACATCCCAGCCACCTCCCTCCAGGTCCCAGCCTTTTTACACATAAAGCTGAAGTGCGCCACCTCTGAGGTTGGGGCCCTCAGCCACCCCTGTGCTGCTGAGTAGACAATAGAAGTACAGAGAATACAGAGGACCACAGAATCTGTGCTCAGGCACAGCCAGGTCTCATTTACCACCCTCTGCCTTATGATGCTAACAAAGTATGTTCCTAGTCTATCACCCAGACTCCCCTGAGGGGCATGGCAAGTGGCTCTTCAAATTGCAAGGCCTATGTCACAGTATTTATATGTGAACAACACAGCAAAGTGCAAATTTCCCCCAATAAAATATAAGTATAGGCATATTTACTTCTCTCCATATATTTTTCTGCAACTTCAAAAAGTTTCCACTTGAATATATTCAAATTGATAGCCATTTTTCTTGGAGATAATGAGAAAAAGGGAGCGGGTTGAGGGAATTTTAAAAAGGGACAGAGTGGTAAGCAGACAAGGAGTAGTGTTTTTCTGCAGTATAACTATGGGAGACAGACAGAAAGCTGAGTGAAGCAAGGCAAACTGCCGTTAGTCTGTATTTCAGCCATGTGAATAGGGCAGGAGCCAAATCATGTATAAAAGTTGCCCATGTGTGTGCTCTGGTGGCGATCTGCCCCAGGCAGAGCTGAAGCAATGTAACCTTTTACTTCCGAGCTTGAGAACTAAATTGCACAAGTCTGCTAGGTAAGTTAAAATAGATCCCCAGAGCTTTTTCCACCTGAGAATTATAAACTATCCCACATCTCCGAGACCAGAGTGGAATTCAGAGGTAGAAATCATAAAATTGGAAAGGGACTACACATTTGGGCAGGGAAATAGGAAGAAAATATGCACATTATCGCAAGAAAGCAACATATATTTTTAAACATCTCTTCGATACTACGAAAGAGGGAAAACCTAGACATTTTCTGGTGTGCAAGGGATAGAAGATAGAAAGTGATTGCACGGTACCTAATTGTGCAAATTCAAGAGGCATAAAATATCATCTGTGTTATTTTTATTTTAGACACTGTCTTTTTTTTATCTTGGTAAACTTAATATTTATGCAAATTTTCACGTGTTGACTGTAACTTCAGTTCTCCCTTCCCACTTCACTGAAATTTTGTTTCTTAACTGCAAACTCTCTTACTATGGGGCTTTTCTGAACACATAACCCTCAAAGATGGGGCGTGTCTACTTCAGTATATGCAACTAATTCTTGTGCAGCCGAGTTCTTACACTGGGCTGGAGTGGCTATCTTAACACTTGCTCCTCCCTTTCAAAGTTGACACTTGGCTCCTAAAAAGATAACTTTGCTGAAATGAGGTTGTTCCATTAATGCCTGTGAAAACACATTCTCATAGAAGACATTGGGCAAAAACTGCTCTACTCTAGCTGAGTGAGTTAGGCTGTGGGATAAGTATTAGCCAAACCCTCACATCGGTGATGGATTCCATAGTCCTATTTAAACTTTAAAAGAAAGCCCCTGAAACAATGGCAGTGCCAAGAAATGAAAACAGAAGTATTATTATGTAAACAGAAGTATTATTTATTTCACACACACACAAAAATCTTAAGTTCAAATCAAAACATCCTATTAAGTAAAAATATACACTTGGTTTGATTCCAGATAATATTCATCAAACGATCCTGAGTTTTGGACTTTTCCTCTTCCTAGCAACAAAAACAAAAACAGAAATCCAGACGCTTCTATTTGTATTCCAGTGAATTAAGTTGACTGACAAACAGCTAAAATTTTATCTTCTATAGAAAATCATGCTATAGAGAGGACTGAAATTCTTATTAATAGATTTTAGAACTCTAGCTATTCTTATCTTCTCTTACCTCATTCCATAATCAAAGCAGAAAGTAGTTTGTACACTCTTATTCACAAATTTCTACCTAAATTTTTTTTAGTGCTTAGAAGACAATTCTTCTGCTCTGACCTCTAGAGTTTTTATTTACTGCATTAACCACATTGGCCTGTATTTTTATTTTGAGTAATTACTAATCAATTTAAAAAAGAGAACAAGAAGCCCCAAACTTAAACCCAATTAAATGTTAGTTAATAAAGAGCTAACTTTTAAAATCATTGTGTCCTTTAGGGGGCACCAACATCTCAGTTAATTCTGAGCCTTGGCAAAGCTATCAAGACAAAAATGATATATATACCGCAAGCCAAGTGTGACCAGCCGCAGACAAGCAATCTAAACAAGGTTTTTTGTTGTTCTTGTTGTTTGTTTGTTTGTTTTGTTTGTTTTTAAATCAAAAGTAGGCTAGCTTTCTCTAACCAGAGTAAACTGGGGAGATGAAGAAGAGAAAGTTGGTGAAGAACTAGGGCCCAGGGCCTGGAGCATTCCTGGCACAGTAGAGACCTGGCCCCTGCCTCGTGCATGCACACTATAACATCAGTTAGGGGGGATGCTATACTGACATGTTGGGAGAGTGAGGGTTTCTCATCACTGAGGAGAGATCCGGGGAGTCCCCAAGCTCAGAAAGGAAGTGGGTAGTATAAGTTGTCTGGTAACTGGTTCTTCTTTAAACATAACTAAAGTCAGAAGACATCAAAAATAGCAAATCTTTTGTCTCTTCAAAGTGGAAAAGAGCCAGGAAGTAAGTTCTTAAGTGATAAGAAAGAAACCACCCTCCCCTTCTGAGTTTAAAGGACTCACGCACCTCTGGCCAGTTCAAGAGAGACAAGTACTAGCAATATGGAAGAGATAATTAATGGGAAAACTGGTCCCAAACATTTAAAAATACTTGCTTGTCTTGATATGTTCCGAGCCTGAGGCTTATCCTCCATCAATCTTATCACTTTTTCACTCTCTTTTGCCCTTCTAATGTCCTCACTTACCCAGCTTAAATACTAGGGTCATTGCAAGAGAAAAAAAAAAAAATTTAACTGAAAGATCTGACTGTAACCACGCTAACCAAGTGTTCAAATTTAGTATCATTAATCTTCTGATGTGATACAATATGAAATGCCTAGTACTACTACCAAGGAAGTATTATTACAGAATGTTTCACCTAAATCTGATGGAGTCTTTAGACCTAATTTTCAATTTATAAGAAATACAGAGAATAGAGAAATACGTTAAATGACACCATAATTAAACAATGTGAGAAATTCAGAATGTGGGGCATCTTACAGG